AAGAGTTAGAATTAATTGACAAAATCTAATTTTGATTAGATGTCAATTAAAGGAATATATTAAATTAATCAATTGGATTGATTAAATGTATTTTGGATATTAATTTAGTAAATAATGGAATTACTAAATTAATAGTTGGATTTTAAAATTGGATTTTAAAATTCAAATCTAAATAATAATATGATTATTATATGAGGAGAATTTTAAATATGGAATATATATGTTTACAAATGATTTTAAAAGAGTTTATAAATATTTGTTTATTATTATTATTATTAATTTTTAATATTAATTAATGATTAAATAATAATAATAATATAATAATAGAAGAAGATAGGATCTTGCACATTATTATATTCTTGTATTAACTTGTAGAAATGATAAAAGACTTTTTAACTTTACTTGTGAAAGTTATTAAAGACTTTTTATCATTTCTTGTAAAAGTTATACAAAACATATATATTTTATTACTAAAAAGTTTAGTATAAATATGGGCATGGTTGATGTTCATATTTGCTAGAATTTGATTTAAGTATTGAGAGCTAAAGTGTTAGTGTTTAATTCAAGTGTTGTAACAAGAAAGAGTTCTTGTGTAATTCTCCTCAAATATATATTCCTATACTAGTTATAAAACCGGATAGTTTCTACTAGCGAAGGAGTTATCTTGGTGTCGGATTGAAACGGTGGATACTCTTAGAGGGAAGACATCTGGATTCCTAAAGCGAGGAACACGAAGTGCTCGTTACCAAACCGGGAATCGATTTCCTCAAACACCGTTGTCTTAGAAGGAGCTAGAGAAAAAAAGGTAATATTTGATATTACTTGTAACAAATCAAAATTTGTATTATTACATGTTTTTAAAGATGACGATCTGTTAATTCGCTTTGTGTATTTACGGGTTGAGTATTTATATGATAAATACATGTTTTGAAAAATTTTATTCCACTGTGTTTCACCCGTACGGTACTAGCGAACCCAACAGTGGTATCAGAGCTACGGTTATCGTCTTTAAAAACAGATTTTGATTTGTTAATGTTTATGACATAAGCAAAATAATTAA